ACACACAGACATGCATCGTCCAACAGGCTACGAACACACTCATAGACACACAGACACACCCATAGACACACAGGCATACATCGTCCCAACGAACACACTCATAGACACACAGACATGCATCGTCCAACAGGCTACGAACACACTCATGACATAGACACACAGACACACCCATAGACGCACAGGCATGCATCGTCCCAACGAACACACTCATAGACACGCAGACACTCATAGACGCACAGACATGCATCGTCCCACCAGCTACCGCAGTGAATGTAGGCCTAGGCTGTCCCTTTGAAAAGATTGAAAACCCTTGTGGACAATTAGAAATCTAGATCTGGTGCAAACTGCTCATGCGAAACGATTTAAATAAACGATTCAAAAATACAATCGGCCTATAGGCTACCCGTTTTACGCTATCTGCTGTCGCTTTTGCGTGATCTTGTTTGTCGGTGGGGATTTTGAAGGGGTGGGGTCAAGGAGATTAAAAGTTAGTTCTAAGCTCCTTGGGTGGGGTGTACGGAGGGGGGATTGAGTGTGTATTGTTGTGTGTGTGTGTGTGTGTGTGTGTGTGTGTGTGTGTGTGTGTGTGTGTGTGCTTGTGTGTGTAGGCTGTGTGTGTGTGCGTGTTAACATTTTCGCTTTTCTAGGCCTGAAGCTTCATACTGCATGTTCACATCATTTACATCTCGACTCGCTGTAAAGCACGTGCAAACGCTGAGTGCTTGACTTGCCTGCTCTCACCTGCAGTGCAAAGTGCAAAGTGCAAAGTCGCGTTCACTTCCTTAAATTAATTGCCTGATGCCTCTCTGTTGGCTATGTTGGGAGAGAGAGAGAGAGGAGAGAGAGAGAGAGAGAGAGAGAGAGAGAGAGAGATGTGACCCACTGACAGACCGACAGTACAGTTCTAGATTCTATGCTGTGTAGGCTAGTGTGTAGTGTGGACCGTGTAGTTTTTCCCCCACTGGGTACAGGAGTGCAAGACGTGTTCGGCGTTCGGTTTTTGTCGTTGCCGATTGCCGATACGCTGCTTGCTTGGCTCTGTTCTCTCTCCCTCTTGTCTTGGTCAACATGAAGATTTGTAATTTGTAATGTGATGTCGACTGGTACTCTGTAGGCTAGGCCTATGATCTTGCTTTTTAGAGGTAGGTCTATAGATAGGGCCTGTACGTTGTCGCAGAGGTAAGTGCTCATTTAGGTAGGCCTAGTTAGTAGTTTGCGACCGTTTTTAGTGCCAAAAAAAGTGTTCCCGGCTTCTTCTTCTATCCCATGGTTGGGGCAACCGTTGGGGCACCACTGCATTGGAAAAACAGCTCTCGCCATCTATTTTTGTCTTCTGCTCTCCTCAGATTGTCACCCATCGTCTTTCCTGTCCACTCTGTAATGTTGTCCTCCCTTCTCCTTCTCTGCCTTCCTCTCTTCCTCTTTCATTGTACGGTTCCTTGCAGGATTGTTTTGGCAAGTCCTGTGGATTTTGTGACATGCCCATACCATTTTAGTTTTCGTCTCTTCACTGTGGTCAGTAGATCTAGAATCTAGATCTTCATATTGTCCCACTGCGTTGGTGATTCTCTTTCGTACTTCAGCATTTGAAACGTGGTCTTTGTACGAGATGTCAAGGAGTCTGCGGTACCTAACATCTCATCTCTGTGGTCTGAATCTTTTTCTCTAATTCCCGGCAGGTGGTTGCTAATCTTCAATTTTACCGCTCATTCTAAGATCTAATAGATTTAGAGATCTAGTAGGGAGGCCATTATAACCTTAGATCTAGAATTCTAGTAGGTCTAGATTCTAGACCTAGTGTAAGTCGTGTGACATAGGCCTAGTTCGAGCTATCTGGTGGAGTTGTTTATTTCTAAGGGAAGCATGCCAGTTTGTCACAGGCCTCGACATATATATCTCTGACACTCTCAAAAAGAGTAAAAATGAATGATTGATTGTATGAACTTCCTTTTGTATGAATTTATAATTTAATTTTTCAATTGTTTTTAACGAAAGAACATTCATTTGTTGAAATTTTACAGTTAATTTGCTTTGATTTTGATACGAAAAGGAAAAATAAGGGGGAAAAAAAAGCTGAATTGACATTTTTAGAGGGACTATCTACACCACCAATTGGAAAAACTTAAGTTACCAAACTACAACAGTGTTAAAGTGCTGTAATTATGACTGTTATCAATGCTCAAAAATACTTTAAAATGAAATTGTGAAACTGGGCCTGTGACAAACTGGGCCTGTGACAAACTGGGCAGCAGTGGGGCGGAGTTCCGCAGAGGGCTGGCACTTATCATGACACGGTACGTGCACCAAACGCCAAAATTTTGTGATTTCTATAGCTTATGAGTCCTGGAAACTGGAAATAAAATTTTTTTGTGACTTTAGGGAACGTTTTTCCATAAAATTCACACATGAATAGGGTTTTGGAATGCCCCCGGACATACAAGGTGTTGAGCCAAAAATAATCATGTCCAAACTGGCCGAAAAATGCCGATTTATCAGATTTCATTATTTTGATGAGCGCCTGATTTCACCTCGATGCCTCACATATTTTCAAAATCAAAGGTGATATTATGGTGCAGACTGGATGTCCAAGTCCGAGGCAACATATGATACTGTACCGTAAAAATAGAGCTAAAAGTTTCTCTGTTCTACCTCTGAAACATGTCCCAAAAAAAGTGAAATCAAAGAAATTTGATGTGCCTGTGTTGACTTTATTCAGATCAATGCTTTCAGGACTTGGGTGTATCCTTCACATTATTATATTGAAATTAATTGGTCCCTTTTAAGCAGCACAGGGGGGGACCAGACCGAAAAATGCTGTTTTGAGAACATCGAAGGTAAAGTTTTTGCCCCTTTTCAGTTTCTTTAAAAGACAAGGAAAGTTTTCTCTATAACCAAACAAATCTACACACCAATGAAACCAAACTTCTCCTTTAGGTAGGGCAATGCCCACTTTTGGTGTAGGTCAAGATTTCTGGAAACCCCTGAAATCTGGGTTGGCTCGCTTGTCCTTCAAAGCGACCAATTTCTATACTCCCTTTAAGTTAACTGTCTAGTATTATATATCATTCCTTGACAGATCTATCGTTCAAAAGAAGGTGGCCCCTCTAGACGCATTGACTGCACTGTTGAGACTTGCACCCGGTGTCTGGCCACGACGGCTGGTCTCAGTGAACATCACTCACAGAAGACTTCGCTCTCACGTCGCACACATCGACATGGCGTCGCCGCGAGAACCCATGTACCCAGCCATCCCTGTCCTACACACACGCGGCTCCTACTATGAGGTGGGCTACAATATTGGCTTCACTTTCGCTGATCGTATCAAGAGGTATTCAGATTATTAATATAATATATATTTTATAAAAGTAAATTTTGACTTCCTATATATTCTTAAATAATAAGTTAACCCTATCCGTATGTCGTGGGGAACTGATCTGTGCCACCACTTTCCAAATATGAAGTTTGCTTATTAATCCGATCCGTACGCTTTGCCAGTCTGTCAAAATGATTTTTTGAGAGATACTGAAAGTTTCAAAGAGATCTTCGTACTAGAAGTATTCTAAAATGTGAAGAATACAACCCCGGGGGTACAAAATGACCCCAGGGCGTACGGATAGGATAGAGTTAAAGCGTCTTTCACGCAGGATGTTGCAGTGAACATAGATGTACGTGACTCAACTGAGAGTCAAGTGGAGACCCTGAATGTGCATGTACTAGACTGGACCAAGGAAATTTTGAATGGAGGGCTCTTAGAGTAGACTTTTACCAAAATCATTCATTTTGAGCATAGAGCGTATCTTTCGCCCATTTGGTAATTTTTTTACATATGATCCTGGTGGCTCCAATTCTTATAAAATGCTTTTTTAAAAATCTTCAGTTGTTTAGAAAAAGTATTTCTTAGCACATTTGTTGACGTTAGATTGTAAGTATTGCTCACTTTTACAACAGTTGTTGAAAGCTGTGTTAAGCTGTTGCTATGCCCATACAAATGTTCTGTAGATTCTGTTTCACATGAAGTGCTTGGTTCTCGTTAACATAAAAGGATTTCAGAACAACCCCCCCCCCTGTTTATTTTATGTATTGGAATATAAGATGCACACATCAATCTACTTGCTCATGCAGCTTGACCAACTTATTTCCTTGCCATATACATAAAGTTTTCAGAAGAAAACTTATTTTACCATGAGTAGTGGTTGATTTAAAAAGTCCTTAAGCAAACACCCCCACCTTTTGGCAAAAGCTCTCATACCTTTTGGCTGACTCTCCCCCTTCCCTTTTATTTCCCGACTCGTTATAGCCTATCGTTCCTATATATAGCCACAGTGGGTTTTCAATAGGCTTAGACCTTGTGGCGTCCTGCAAAACATGGGAAGTAAGTGGGAAAGAAAACTGGAGGAACATTCCGGGTTATGGGGGGCTGGGGAGGTGTTCAGATTATCTTTATAATGGACAGCTATGGTTTATCAATTTCATCTTTTGTTATCTTTTGTTATTTTTTAAAATGTTGTTCTTAACTTGAGTAATTTCATGGAACACCCTCAAGTTAATAGTTAAAATCTATCCCTTGAGCCTCATTCTGAGTGGTCAAACCATCCTTCTGAGATTGGAAATAAGGTTCCCCTTTTGTAAAGTTTCAAAATTCGACAGATTTTCGTGGGCTAAAATGACTAAAAATGATAACACTAGGTCAAGCATGTAATTATTTTTTATCTTTTTTTGTTGTAGTGATCTTCATTTTCTGTCTGTCTTCTCCTTTTGTCTCTATGTTTGTTCACTGTCTTTTTTTCCTCATCCAAAGCTTCTCTCTCTCTCTCTCTCTCTCTCTCTCTCTCTCTCTCTCTCTCGCCCTCTCTCTCGCCCTCTCTCTGTCTCTCTGTCTCTCTGTCTCTCTGTCTCTCTCTCTCTCTCTCTCTCTCTCTCTCTCTCTCTCTCTCTCTCTCTCTTTCTGCTACTTATTGTGTGAAGTTTCATCTATTTTATCACATCCGTGATTCACCATAGTTCATATATATATATAAGTGGGTTGTTGGCGGGTGCTCTGGTGTGGTTTGCTTCTTCTTTCCTATCATACATCTATCATCCTTATCTCTCCTCCTTCTTTTTTGTGTTTGTTACTCTCTTGTAACACCCTCTAATCTTCGGCACTTATATGGCCTTTTTGTGTTGCAAGTGCCGTAAAACTCTTACTATAACTAAAATAGCTCATATATATTCTCAGTATGTAAATTATCAGTGTTGCTTAGAAAGGTTTGAATCTCAACATGAAAATATAAAATGATGTTATCAAATGGATTTTGTTCCCAGGTTCTGGCAAGAGTCCGTAGAAATGAAGACGCTGGTAAAACCTTTCGGGGAAACAGAACGGGGTCGTCAGTACGTTGGAAAGGCCCTTAAAGTTTGCAAGGAAAATTTCCCTTGTTTTATACGAGAAGTAAGTATAGTCACTTTTTTTTTTTATGCACTAACCCATTTTGCCCACTTAATAGCAACCCAGATAAAAGCATTTTCCTCTTGACAGCAGCCTAAGTTTATGTAACAGTATTTGTTCCATTATAAGTAACCCCTTTTAACCCTATCCGTACGCCTGGGGTCATTTTGTACCCACAGAGTTGTATTCTTCACATAAATCTTAGAATACTTCTAGTACGAATATTTCTTTGATACTTTCAGTATTTCTCAAAAAATCATTTTGTCAGGATGTTATGCAAAGCGTACGGATCAGTTGTACGAACAAATTTCCTCTTGAGAAAGTGATGCACGACGTACGGATAGGGTTATTACAGCTACTTTTTCCTCTAACAGCAACCTTTATTATTGCTATAAGTTGTCTGACCAAAAAAATGTTTTTATTTGACTATTCAAACACAATGGGAACACCGAAATTGACCAGTAATTTCAGTGTGAGTGCATCCCTCCTCTCTTGTTGATCTCCTGTCTTCACGGCACTTACTTTAGTTAAAAGTTAAACACTGTAAGTGGGTGGTTGGCGGGTGCACTGGTGTGGTTTGTGTCTTCTTTCCTATCAAACACCTATCGTCCTTATCTCTCCTCCTCCTTTTTTATGTTTGTTACTCTCTTGTAAAACCTCGAATCTTCTGGGGCTCATATGACCTTATGCAGTTGCGAGCGCCGGAAAGCCTCTACTAAAACAAAAAAGACACTCAAGTTCCAGACCTCAGTTCCCACTCCCACACTCTCGCAAAGTGCCACCTTCCTTCAAGGGTCTTCCATCTAGAGAGAAAAATCTCTGCCAACACATTGCCAATATTCTCACTAAGAAAAATCTCAGCCAACACGTTGCTGATGTTCTCACTTTCCGACGTAACAACATCACCTCATCCTGCAATTGGGACTTGGTGCGTGTGTGTGTGCCTGCGTGCATGTGTGTGTGCGTGTGTGTAACACCTCTTGTAACACCTCTAATCTTCAGCACTTACATGACCTTATTGTGTTGCAAGTTCCGTAAAACTCTTACTAAAACTAAAACTAGAAAATGAAAATTAGTGTTCATTCAAGAGAGATTTAATTAAACATAATCATAATATCTCCCCTTACGTAAGAATGCAAAACAGAAAAGGCCACATCTACATCTTCTAAAACTTCCCGTTATAATCAGTAAAAAAATGGCAGAGAACCAGTTTTGTAAAACTTCAAAACACAAAGAGGTTAAATACTTTCTGTTGCCAAATATATGGTTGGACATGTAAACCTTGTGAATGTTACTGAGCCAATGCTGCTGATATTGCTTTTTCATTATTTATTTTCTGGCTTTTATTGTCATAATCTTGTGGTTATTGTTATTGCAAACACTAATTATTGATATTACTTTGATAATTATTTAAGATAAGATAAGATAATACTTTATTATCTCATAGGGAAATTTTTGTTCGCTGTACAGGACCGTAAAAGATATAATTGGTGATGGTAGTGTTATTATGAGATCATATTCTCTGTTGCGTTACTGCTGTTGTCATATTTGTAATTGCTGTTGCTGTCATTATTGTTGTTGATCGTGGGGTTTTTTCTCATCGTCGTTGTTGTCTCTGTTATTGAAACAGTTGTTGTTTGTGGGTGGTTGGCGGGTGCTCTGGTGTGGTTATCTTCTTCTTTCCTATCAAACATCTATCGTCTTTATCTCCCCTTATTCTTTTCTGTGTTTGTTACTCTCTTGTAACACCTCTAATCTTCGGCACTTATATGACCTTATTGTGTTGCAAGTGCCATAAAACACTTACTAAAACTAAAACAATTGTTGTCGTTGTTCATTTCAGTGATGTTTCTTTGGGAGGGAAAAGATGCCTCGCTATATTTCCTTGCTCACCGTCCACAGTTGCAGGGTATGGCTGACGGTTGCGGTATGGAGTTCAGTGACCTGTTTCTGGTGAATGTGTCCAAAGAAATTATTAACGCCCTGTCAGGGCAAGAGGTAGAGCCGAACTCTTTGTCGTCAGGATGTAGCGAAGTCTTCATCAACACCCCCAAGTATAAGCTGATGGCGCACAATGAAGTGAGTATGGGGCTGATGGTAGAATATATAGATACTGTAGACTTTGTGTTACTCAAGGTCTTTAAGCCATTCCCAAAGGCGGGATATTAACATGTTCTTATGCACAGTAGAATTGTAAATTTGCTGATTTATCAATGTCTTGCTGATACTGTACCGGAACAACATAGGGGGAACGGCTGCTTTTTCTTTCCTCATCCTTACTATCGTCATTTTTCCTCTTTTTGCTTTTGTATGTTTGTCACTCTCTTGTGAACTTGTGAACTTTTATTTCCGGGATGCCTTGATAGTCGAAGCAGACTTTGTGGTGTTGAGGCTAGAGAGGTGAGCAGAGTAAGTCTGATTCCCTGTAAGGACTTCTTTGTTGACATCCAACCCTTGGCGCTCATATGGCCTTATGCAGTTGCGAGCGCCGTAAAACCTCTACTAAAACAAAAATCGTATTATATCCTCATCCTCCCTTATGTTGGGGTAGCTGTAGCAGTGCCACACATTGCCTGGGTTTGCTCTGACAGACACTCTCGAACAAAGCGCTTCCAAAAAATTGAATTGGGCCAGTTTCGGAAGGGTTTGGGGTTGTTATATATTTGTGTCAAGACACAGTGGAATCAGGCGCTTGTCAGTTTTTGGGCATGTGGAGTTAATGGTATCATCTTAAAACTTTTTCATTTGTCTTGCTTTCGATGAAAAAAATGTTCATTTATCTTGAATACAAGTCGAGGTATTTACGATTGAAGGAGATGGGGGTCACCTGGTCTGAGAGATAAAATTAGAGAGAAAATGGCCACCAAAGTTTAGTTATTTGCTCAGCTTGAGAGTCTGTAAAAACTTAAAATTTTCATTTTGTATGCCTTTAATTGATGTTTTTCAGTACAATCCACACAGAAATGTGTTTTTTAATGGACATAGAAGATGTTGAGCCCAAAAACAAGAATTCGATAAAAATTCCCAAACCTGCTTAAAAATGCCAGTTTCTTCACTTTTATTATTTTGATGAGCGCCTGATTTCACCACACTGCCTCACATATTTATTACTGTTCTACTTTTTATACACACAGGATGCTGATCCAATGATAAAACCGTATGGCTACTTTGTCAAGGCATGTATTGTGGAGAACAAGAAGGAAGTGGAGAACTTTACCGCCTTCTGCTACCCGGGCTTCCTCGCAGGAGTTGCCTTTAACTTCAATAGGTGGGTGTTTGGCGGGTGCTCTGGTGTGGTTTGCTTCTTCTTTCCTATCAACTTTTTTGTTTGTTACTCTCTTGTAACACCTCTAATCTTCTTGCGCTCATATGACCTTATGCAGTTGCGAGTGCCGTAAAACCTCTACTAAAACTAAACTAAAAACTTCAATAGGTAGGTTTTGCGCAATAGTTGTGTTACATCTAGTATTTGTTTCAGTTTTTCTAGAAAATTGGGGGTTTTTGTTTTTTGTTTTTTGTTTCTTGGATTTTTCTTTTCAGAGTTGTTGGTGGTCATGGAATGAGGTAATGAATGAGGTTAGGAGGAGAAAGGATGGGGTTGGGGGGGGGGGGGGAGCTGACAAAGTATTTGAATCCACTGATGCTTGTTATTGTGGTTGTTGCCCTTGTGTTTGGTTAGACGTTGCTTTGTTGGCCTAGCTTTTTTGGCTTTTTATTGTGCTCGAAAGTACGAATAGGTGGGGCTGAGTACTCCAAATTCTGTCCCCGCGGTTTAATGCACACAAAAAAATTCTGAAATTATGCAAACTGAGCCCAAATATGTGAAATTATGAGATTCTGTTAATTTTAGCTAAGAATGATGAAGGAAAATTATCAGAAATTATGCAAAATATTATCAGATTTTTGCAGAATTATACGGGGTGCATAAAACCTCGGGGACGGTCCAAATGACAAGAAAATGTCCTAGAGAGTCATGATGGAGGAGGAAAGGGGCTGTCTTAGACAGGTGGATGTCTTGAACAGTATCATTCTAATCATCATCATCCAGTGCCAGATCTGCAACAGATATAGTGTAAAGCGCATAGAGCTTGCTGTCGAGCGGGATTATGCACTAAACAAATGCTATTTCTTATTATTATTCTGCTCTATCATAGCACGGATTGTGTCTTTTGTCAGTATTACATTACATTATAGAAATATAATAGAAAAAATGCAAGGGGAAGTGGTTGTTCGTACAGTTGATTGTTTTGGACTGCTGCCTGATGGAGTAGGTTTGACTATACGTAAATCGTAAATACACTGGATTAATTGTTGTTATGGGTACCCAGCTGTAGCCAGTGAAAGATCTGGTCAGTTTGATAGTGTTTGAGTGCTGAAGCAACTGCTTGCACTGTATGATTCCCAGGAAGCCAAGAATGTTTCTGAGTGTTCTCTGGTCTGCTGTGGTAATAATATATAATATAGTGTAAAGTGCATAGAGCTTGCTGTCAAGAGGGAAGATGAGCTACACAAATGCTATTTATTATTTATTATAATTCTGTTCCATCATAGTAGGGATTGTGTCTCTAGTTAGTGGACAGTAGGCCTATTTACTTAGACCCCCACCCCACCCCAACCCAGCTCCACTACATTTCCTCTAGGAGGATTGTCGGCCATAGAAATTGTTGTTTTTCTGGCTGAGATTTTTGCAGCCCATGGTTTATAACTGAGAATATTTCTGATTTTCTATATTAATAGCATCATGTCATGTTTAACTCTTTATCTCCGAGGTGGGTAAACACACTACACCGGGGCCCTTTTTTTGGTGCTAAATCTAAAAATGACGAAATTGTTCCTAAATGGGTCATTAAATTGAAACTCGTGAACCTATTATGATAGTACTTAATCTAATGAATGAACTTCCGTTAAAGAAACATGTTTTCGGCAATTGACGGAAAGTAATTTGATGTCAAAGTCTTCGTAAAGGAATGTACCCGAGCCGCAGTCAGTGGCTCACCGACACAGTGGTTCCGGCCACGAGCCACTGGGAACGACTTGCCAGAGATAAAGAGTTAATTGCAATAGAATATCTGAAGTAAAAACAGTACGAAAAGTAAAAACAAAAACCCCTGATCATTCGTGATACTTGTTTGTGTTGTTGTTTTTCCGGTTGCTGTCTCGATTTCAAGAAGTGCAATTGAGTTCCGATTGATCAGAATATATGTTCACGCCATTTTTCTCTCTCTCCTTCCAGCCATGGCATGGTGTTCAGTATGAACGGGTTGTACGTCAACATAGTCGCTGAGAGTGCACCGCCCAGGTATGGGATAAGTTACACATGATTACCTATCCATTTGGTCATAACACTGAACGTCTCTTTCATATATATATATATATATATATATATATGTATGTGTTATGACGCGATGGAATCAGGCGCTCGTCAAAATAATGAAATCGGAAAAACAGGCATTTTTCCGCCAGTTTGAAAATTTGGTTCAAATTCTTCTTTCTTTTTTTTGGCTTAACCTCTCTTATGCCGATGTAAAAACACATTTTCATGTGATACAAAATGTGTCATTTTTCAGTTTTCAAAGACTCTTTAGCTCTTGGAGTTACCAAACTTTGGCGGCCATTTTCTCGCTAATTTCACCTCTGAAACCAGGTTATCTCACCTCCTTCAATGGCGATTATCTTGAGTTCTATTCAAGATAAATGAATGATTAATCCATTGAAAGCAAGGCGAATAAATCAGCTTTCAGATGATACAAATAACTCTACATGTACAAAAATTGACGAGCGCCTGATTCCACCATGATATATATAATTTATATATATGTATGTATGTGTGTGTCATGACGCTGTAAAATCAGGCGTTTCGGCAATTTTGGGACATGTGGAGTTATTGGTATCATCATTAGCTTGTTGAATTGTCCTTCTTTTGCTGAAAATATAACCCATCTATCTTCAATAGAAGTGGAGATGTTTCAGATTGAAGAAGGTGGGGGTTGCCTGGTTTCAGAGGTAAAATTAGCGAGAAAATGGCTGCCAAGAATCTGTTGTAATTCTTGGGTAGCGAGTGACCGTTAGAGCAGATTTGAGCCTATGAAGTAAGATTTATATATTTGAAAAAAAAAATTTTAAACTTCTAATGTCAAAAATTATTTTTTTTACTTTTAAAGTAAAAAATTAATTTTTGAAAACTTTCAATGTAAAAAATACATTAAAAAAAACTTTTAATATTAAAAATAAATGTTTTCAAAACTTAGTTTTCCCTACCATATGTATACAGGGCATTTCTCAACCGGTCAGTGATCCGGGCCAGGACGGTGGAGGAAGCGAAGTCTTTGCTCAGGAACTCTCCGTTTGGCTCGGCGTACAGCTTCACCGTGAACATTGTGGATGTCAAGAACCACAAGTCTATGTGGTCTATAGAGGTGAGTGGGGGCTCCAGGGGCTAAGTGAGCAGTGAGTTCAGACTCAAATTATGTCAAGAATCACAAGTGTATGTGGTCTATAGAGGTGAGGTATTGGGTGAGTGGGGGCTCCAGGGGCTAAGTGAGCAGTGAGTTCAGACTCAAGTTATGTCAAGAATCACAAGTCTATGTGGTCTAAATGCACACAAAAAAATTCTGAAATTATGCAAACTGAGCCCAAATATGTGAAATTATGAGATTCTGTTAATTTTAGCTAAGAATGATGAAGGAAAATTATCAGAAATTATGCAAAATATTATCAGATTTTTGCAGAATTATACGGGGTGCATAAAACCTCGGGGACAGTCCAAATGACAAGAAAATGTCCTAGAGAGTCATGATGGAGGAGGAAAGGGGCTGTCTTAGACAGGTGGATGTCTTGAACAGTATCATTCTAATCATCATCATCCAGTGCCAGATCTGCAACAGATATAGTGTAAAGCGCATAGAGCTTGCTGTCGAGCGGGATTATGCACTAAACAAATGCTATTTCTTATTATTATTCTGCTCTATCATAGCACGGATTGTGTCTTTTGTCAGTATTACATTACATTATAGAAATATAATAGAAAAAATGCAAGGGGAAGTGGTTGTTCGTACAGTTGATTGTTTTGGACTGCTGCCTGATGGAGTAGGTTTGACTATACGTAAATTGTAAATACACTGGATTAATTGTTGTTATGGGTACCCAGCTGTAGCCAGTGAAAGATCTGGTCAGTTTGATAGTGTTTGAGTGCTGAAGCAACTGCTTGCACTGTATGATTCCCAGGAAGCCAAGAATGTTTCTGAGTGTTCTCTGGTCTGCTGTGGTAATAATATATAATATAGTGTAAAGTGCATAGAGCTTGCTGTCAAGAGGGAAGATGAGCTACACAAATGCTATTTATTATTTATTATAATTCTGTTCCATCATAGTAGGGATTGTGTCTCTAGTTAGTGGACAGTAGGCCTATTTACTTAGACCCCCACCCCACCCCAACCCAGCTCCACTACATTTCCTCTAGGAGGATTGTCGGCCATAGAAATTGTTGTTTTTCTGGCTGAGATTTTTGCAGCCCATGGTTTATAACTGAGAATATTTCTGATTTTCTATATTAATAGCATCATGTCATGTTTAACTCTTTATCTCCGAGGTGGGTAAACACACTACACCGGGGCCCTTTTTTTGGTGCTAAATCTAAAAATGACGAAATTGTTCCTAAATGGGTCATTAAATTGAAACTCGTGAACCTATTATGATAGTACTTAATCTAATGAATGAACTTCCGTTAAAAGAAACATGTTTTCGGCAATTGACGGAAAGTAATTTGATGTCAAAGTCTTCGTAAAGGAATGTACCCGAGCCGCAGTCAGTGGCTCACCGACACAGTGGTTCCGGCCACGAGCCACTGGGAACGACTTGCCAGAGATAAAGAGTTAATTGCAATAGAATATCTGAAGTAAAAACAGTACGAAAAGTAAAAACAAAAACCCCTGATCATTCGTGATACTTGTTTGTGTTGTTGTTTTTCCGGTTGCTGTCTCGATTTCAAGAAGTGCAATTGAGTTCCGATTGATCAGAATATATGTTCACGCCATTTTTCTCTCTCTCCTTCCAGCCATGGCATGGTGTTCAGTATGAACGGGTTGTACGTCAACATAGTCGCTGAGAGTGCACCGCCCAGGTATGGGATAAGTTACACATGATTACCTATCCATTTGGTCATAACACTGAACGTCTCTTTCATATATATATATATATATATATATATATGTATGTGTTATGACGCGATGGAATCAGGCGCTCGTCAAAATAATGAAATCGGAAAAACAGGCATTTTTCCGCCAGTTTGAAAATTTGGTTCAAATTCTTCTTTCTTTTTTTTGGCTTAACCTCTCTTATGCCGATGTAAAAACACATTTTCATGTGATACAAAATGTGTCATTTTTCAGTTTTCAAAGACTCTTTAGCTCTTGGAGTTACCAAACTTTGGCGGCCATTTTCTCGCTAATTTCACCTCTGAAACCAGGTTATCTCACCTCCTTCAATGGCGATTATCTTGAGTTCTATTCAAGATAAATGAATGATTAATCCATTGAAAGCAAGGCGAATAAATCAGCTTTCAGATGATACAAATAACTCTACATGTACAAAAATTGACGAGCGCCTGATTCCACCATGATATATATAATTTATATATATGTATGTATGTGTGTGTCATGACGCTGTAAAATCAGGCGTTTCGGCAATTTTGGGACATGTGGAGTTATTGGTATCATCATTAGCTTGTTGAATTGTCCTTCTTTTGCTGAAAATATAACCCATCTATCTTCAATAGAAGTGGAGATGTTTCAGATTGAAGAAGGTGGGGGTTGCCTGGTTTCAGAGGTAAAATTAGCGAGAAAATGGCTGCCAAGAATCTGTTGTAATTCTTGGGTAGCGAGTGACCGTTAGAGCAGATTTGAGCCTATGAAGTAAGATTTATATATTTGAAAAAAAAAATTTTAAACTTCTAATGTCAAAAATTATTTTTTTTACTTTTAAAGTAAAAAATTAATTTTTGAAAACTTTCAATGTAAAAAATACATTAAAAAAAACTTTTAATATTAAAAATAAATGTTTTCAAAACTTAGTTTTCCCTACCATATGTATACAGGGCATTTCTCAACCGGTCAGTGATCCGGGCCAGGACGGTGGAGGAAGCGAAGTCTTTGCTCAGGAACTCTCCGTTTGGCTCGGCGTACAGCTTCACCGTGAACATTGTGGATGTCAAGAACCACAAGTCTATGTGGTCTATAGAGGTGAGTGGGGGCTCCAGGGGCTAAGTGAGCAGTGAGTTCAGACTCAAATTATGTCAAGAATCACAAGTGTATGTGGTCTATAGAGGTGAGGTATTGGGTGAGTGGGGGCTCCAGGGGCTAAGTGAGCAGTGAGTTCAGACTCAAGTTATGTCAAGAATCACAAGTCTATGTGGTCTATAGAGGTGAGTGGGGGCTCCAGGGGCTAAGTGAGTAGTGAGTGCAGACTCAAGTTATGTCAAGAATCACAAGTCTATGTGGTCTATAGAGGTGAGTGGAGGCTCCAGGGGCTAAGTGAGTAGTGAGTGCAGACTCAAGTTATGTCAAGAATCACAAGTTTATGTGGTCTATAGAGGTGAGGGATTGGTTGGTTTCTACAATGTAATTGTGTTAAGACGCTGTGGAATCAGGCGCTCGTAAATTTTTGGGCATATGGAGTTATTGGTTTTATCTTAAAGCTTATTTATTAGTCTGATGTGGTCTATAGAAGTGAGTGATTTGTTTGTTTCTACCGTAGAATCCTGAGTCCTGTTATATACCTCCCTAGTTTTATGCTTTTTGCGTAATTATTACACAAAAACGGTCCCAATTACGGAAGTACGCAAATGTGAGGAAAATTACGTATTTTTCCCACCCGCAAACTAGCTGGTAAAATGTTAATTAATTACGTCAAATGACGGAAAAACTAGCAACATCTGGATCAGGCCTTCTTAATGAGTACGTGAAATTTGTCTGTCTAATTCAGAGTATCCAGAAATCTACCTGTGCGTGTGTGATTACACTTTTTTGTCTCAACTTACTCAAAATCATCTTTTCCTTTACACATTTTTTTTATCTTGAACAAGGGAGGTATGCTGTTACAACGAGAGGAAGGGGACTGGTGCAAAATGTCTGTTTATAGCAGGATTCTCGTTAAAAGGGATCCGGAAATAAATTCAAGGGAAATAATAAAGTAGGCCCAATCTATGAGTTTTTGTGTTCTGTTTATTATTTCTTTTTGTTGTCTCCCCTGGTGATAATTTTGTTCATCGTGACCTGTAGGTCTTACTTGATCAAAAATCGAATCAGGTTTCTTTCTCTAGCGCTAGTGATGTTGACAGTTCGGCGCTTGTGATCAGAAAGAAAGGGCTCTTGGCTTACTCGCCCACTGTGTTGTCCCCCACCCCACCACACCCTGTGGTGCGTTGCGTCTGCTTGCGCACGTCACACATTCGCTCCATCCATCACAGCACTGTGACCTCTCCATTCCCGCATTGGAGAAGTGAGAGGCATGATTGGCCTAGATAATTTAGATAATCTATACTAGGCTGGCCTATCACGCGATGCGTTCTGCTTATCTACGCATGCCACACCCTCCCCGCTCATTCGCCCCAGCCTTCATTCTTGCCACACATGGGCTCTCCCATTCTTTGTTTCGCTAGTTCACCAAGTTTCTCAACTGGCGAGGTTTTATGTGTGTATAACTGGCCTATGCGCTGTGCACAGCTGCAGCAATATTCCGTTCTAACCAACTTGCGTGTTTGTCTGATTTTGCTATGGCAGTATCTTATTTACAAAGATAAAGATTGGAAAAAAAACAGGATTTTAGAATAGTGTCTTTATGACGGATGCTCTTATGTGGTTTGCTTCTTCCTTCCTCTAACATCTATCATCCTTTTCTCTCCCCCTTCTTTTTTGTGTTTGTTACTCTCTTGTAACACATGTAATCTTCGGCACTTATATTTCCTTATTGCGTTGCAAGTGCCGTAAAACACTTACTGAAACTAAAACTAAAATCGATCTTTGCTGTCATTACTTATCATTCTGTATCTGTTCTTTTGATTCATTGGCAGGTGGGTCCAAGAGAAAAAGAGTCAGAAGTCCACGTTCAAGAGATTCCCGAGGTCTGTGACCCTGAGAAACCCTGCCATTATCTTCACTTTAACAGCATCAAACATCTCAAGAACCTCATGAGTGCGGGCATACCCAACCCTAGCTCCATCACCAGGACCCAAGTGGCAGAAAAGGTCAGTGACAACTTTCTACTCACAAAATAATAATGGTAATGGGTTCAAATGAAAAGTATATATGTGTCACCACGCGGTGGAATTGGGCACTTGTCCATTTTTAGGCAACTGGAGGGAGCTTTTGGTATCATCTTAACTCTTTTTCTCCCGGGGGGAGTAATCCCACTACGCCGGGACCCATTTTTAGTGCTAAATCTTTTTACCATAACTATTTTTATAAAAAATGTTATTGTTATGTATATTGAGCATCTCGTCCAGATGAAAATATGTAATATAGCAATTTTTCATTATAATGTATTGAAATGTTTTATTACATAGAAATCTCAATCATACTTTTCCTGAAAAATCTTTACTCTGGTGTTTGTGGTGTTTTTGTTCAACTATTTTAAGTCCAGAAAGCAATTTCTACAAAATATTTCTGAATCTGATGCCACAAATTCAGATACTGCTATTTACAAAATGTTCAATATTTTTGGCTAAATACATCTAATCAGCTCGCGGATGATATGAAACGCTATTTTAATAATGTAATATAATATGTGTCTCTATGGGGTGGAATGAGGCGCTCGTCAAAATAATGAAATTGAAGATATTGTCATTTTCCCGCCAGTTTGAAAAATTTGTCCGAATTTTTGTTTTTTGGCTTAACCCCTTTTATATTTCCATTTAAAAACAAATTTATGTGTGGATTTTACTGAAAAACGTTGATTAAACACACAGCAAATGTAAGTTTCCAAGGACTCTCAAGCTTTGGAAATCAACAAACTTAGGCAGCCATTTTCTTGCAAATTTTACCTCTGAAGGCAGGTGACCCCCTCCTCCTTCAATCACAAATATCTCGACTTCTATTGAAGATAGATGCATATTTTTTTCATTAAAAGATAGTCAAATGAACAAGCTTTAAGATGACGGCAATAACTCTACGTACCCCAAAATTGACGAGTGCCTGATTCCACTGTGCTGTGACACTTTTTATATTGGTATCATCTTAAAGCCTTTTCATTAGCCTTCCTTTTGGGAAAAAAAATATCCATCTGTGTTGAATAGATGTCAAAATATTTGCGATTGAAGAAGGTCAGGGTCGCCTGGTTTCAGAGGTAAAATTAGTGAGAAAATAGCTGCTAAAGTTTGGTAACTTCCATAGCCTGAGAGTCCTTCGAATCGGAAAATTTACCTGTTTTTGTGCCTTTAATCAATGTTTTTCAATAAAATCAAAACAAAAATGTGTTTTTAAATGGACATTGAAGGTGTTGATCCAAGAATAAGAAAATTAGAAACAAATTGCCCATCGGCCCCAAAAATGCTGATTTCTTTGATTTCATTATTTTGACGAGTACCTGATGTCACTATGATGTCTCACATAAATAGCATTCTATTGTGTTGATTCCTGCTCAACAGCAAGCTCTATGGGCTTTACAATTTGTATTACACTAGGTGGGGCCCCCTTCGATGAAAGGAATGATCAGTGCATTAACACCAACTGAAAGTCATTGGCCTACTAACTACTATATTTACACTCAACTGGAATGGGGCAATAAATCTTGAGAGATGCAAAAAATTAGAAGGTCTAGATCTATACTCTCAAAACAAAATGTGCCTCACGAAATATCACTTCCGGCACTTCTGCTGTGAAGGACAGCTACGTTGATTTGTTTCGTTTCTCAGTGGAATAATCACAAAGGTCAAAGAAGGATGGGTACTTTTGGTCAAAAATACATTTTTCTAAATTCAGGAAATGAATAGATAAAAAATCGGGCTCCGTCATGGGGACCTATCTTTTTGCAGGTACTTGTCAACTCTCAACTCTGTAGCTGTCGTAGTTTTATGGGTAAAGTGACACTTGTGTTCCCAAGTTGCCAAATATAAGATATAATTTATAAATTACATTGTTTTCCTTACAAATGTTGTTGGTGGCCTATGCTCCACTGGGAGTTAAAAAGGGCAAGAGAGAGAGATTATCCAGACTTTTCTTTCCCCTGTTCAGTTCCCGCCTGTGACGACTCGTCAAGATGCGCTGAAACTTCTGGGAGATGAAAGAGACAAACTCTACCCTATCTTCCGGTCAGACCGACCCACTGACCACTCAGAGACTGTGTTTACAACGATGGTGGAGCCCTTGAGGAACCGGGTGGAGGTGTACCAGGGGAACCCATCTCTCCCCGGTGCTCAGCCGTTCATGTACTTCAATATACTGGAGGGGGAAGATGGTGATGGTGACAAGACCAGCTGATGATTGGTGGGGACTAACACCTTCAGTTGTGTTTAGCTGTTCCAACTTCCAACGTCCCCCCCTCCCATCACCCCTGTCTCTCTCTGATTTTTTTTTCTTTCTCTCTGTCTCTGTTTTATTTCTCTCTCTCTCTCTGTTTTTTTTTTCTTTCTCTCTCCCTCCCCCCTCTGTCTCCCTCTCTCTCGCTCTCTCTCTCTCTCTCTTTCTATGGGTTTTTTTTCTCTCTCTTTCTCTCTCTCTGTTTTTTTTTTTCTTTTTCTCTCCCCCCTCTGTCTCTGTCTCTCTCTGTCTCTCTGTCTCTCTGTCTCTCTCTCTCTCTCTGTCTGT